ATCCCTTAGTTACCTGAGTGGATTCCAACTCCCAGAATTCCTCATCCTGGCTGGGGAATTCTGGGAGTTGGAGTCCATATACCTTAACAAGTTTGACAAAACACTGATTTAGAGTCTGATTTAGACAGACTATGTACTAGGGTGGGAAGCAATAAAACCACACACGTGGCACAATGAAGCAACCGCATTCTTATTCGTAATCCTCACAGATTGGCTTTAGGAGATTCTCTTCTTCAGGAAAAAGTTAAAACCAAGCTGTCATGTAAAATCCTGCTGGGCTTTTAGTGGCAGAAACACCTTCTAGTAAATATTTTTTTTTACCACCAGCCATGCCCAACTTAGCAGGTGAGAGCACCCACAACTTGTTCTCAAAATTCATAACGCATTCACAACAGCAAAGTGGGGTACATGGCCAATTAAAGTACCATTCCTTCACTCCTAAAGTCTCCTTCCTTTTGATTCTTGGTGATTCTAGGAATTGTTGCATGCTGCTTTCTTGGCAAATATTCAGAAGTGGCACACCCTTGCTTTCTTTCAGGATGTTGATTTCTTAACTCTCTCCTTTAGCTACACCCCTGGTGTTTCCTATCACAGTCCTACACAACTCAACTGCTGTGTTTATATCTTGTAAATTTCTCCCCCCCGCCCGCCGCCGCCATTTAATCCTTGCCTGTTTCAAGTTCCAAAATGCAACTTGTGTCTCTCTTCAGATTCAAGTCAAATCTTTCCAACAGCCACGCTCTCGCACATGTTTTGTGGCTTTGTTTAAGGTTCCTGAGAACAAGCCAAGCAAGGCAAGGAAAGTTCAACTTTGTTTTTCCAAGAAAATGTCTACTGATAAATGGGCATAGCATGAACACTTCAATTACTTAGCAAGGCTTGGTTATACTTTTTAACTAGCCTGGATATATTTAACAGAAGACATTGAGAGCTAGCTTCATGTAGTATTGCTGGCTTAGAAACCAGGAATCTGGGAGTTCTAGTCCTGCCTTAGGTATGGAAACTAACTGGATGACTTCAGGCCAATGACCAGGAGATGGTGAATTCCAGTCCCATCTTATGCATGAAAGCCAACTGGGTGATTTTGAGCCAATTGCTCTCTGTCTCAGTCCAATCCACTCACGGGGTAGTTGTTTGGAGGAAATAAGAAGCAGGCGTATTAGACATGGCGGCTGCCTGGAATTATATATTAAAATGTGGGATAAAAATATATATTAATAATTGCTTTGCATTTTTTTTAAAAAAATTCTACCTTCTCTCATCTCTTTCAGAGGATAGGTATCACCTCCCTTTCTTAAATCCACCTTGCTTTCTAATTTTGTCACATGCTGCATAGATAAAGGTATGTGTGTGTGTGAGTGGGTCTTTCTGCCTCCCTTAGAAAATCTCCACCCTTGAGGAAATAGGTTAATGTCTTTTTATAATCCTTGATGAGTGCTTTTTTTTTTCTAAGTAAACATTTGTTCTTCATGGATAATCACTGCACGATCTCATTAAGAAAATCTTAACAAGTTAATTAGCTTTCTTTTTCTTTCCCAAATCAGAAGTGAAATAGAAATATATGAATGTTAGAATTAATACACATTTTTATAAATGACTCAAGGTAGCGAAGATATATAATATCCATTCTCCTGTTTTCCCCATAACAACATTGCGAGGTGAATTGGGCCCCAACAGTGACATTATTCCAGGGAAATGGGAGGGGCTTGAAATTCCTTCCTTCAATTTCTGTTGAAGGACTATTTCCCCCTCTTGACTAGGAATGTGCTTGTAAGATTGGAACTCAAGACTGCAGTGTTTTTCGTGGTGGGAGATCCTGAAATGTGGAACTCAAAAGACAAAATCACACACACACACACACACACACACACACACACTTTTTAGTTCAATCTGGCCACGTATATGTTGCAAGAAGTGAGAGCAAAACAATCTCTTCACCAGAACTTGTTGAGGGAACAGCCTACCTACAATCAGAAGAATTTATCAGGTAGGTGTGAGACACTTCTAAACATTTCTCTGAGATCATAGACTTAGTAGATGAGACTTGATTACACATGGTGTAAGGGTCTGTCTACTTCTTCCTAATTTACAATTCCACTTATATTTTCCAGCAGTTTAATCTAGTGGTTAAGACACCAGGCGATAAACTTGGAAACTGTTGAGTTCAAGTCCCACCTTAGCTGTGAAAGTTGGTTGGGTGATTTTGGGCCAGTCACTCACTCTCTCAGCCCATCCTACCTCGTAGGTTATTGTTGTAGGAGGAATATGATCATCATCTTGAGTTGTTTATTCAAATAATAAAGATGAGGGGGGGTGAGGGAGAGGGGAGGGAAGGAAGGTCTCCAGATACTATTTTTTTTTAGGTGTCTTCAAAAGACCTTGAGAATTTTGGGACATGTTCCACCAGATAAGAATGTACATATGCTATATAGATAAGAGATAGCTCAAGTATTTTCTGCAACCTTCCCCTAACACATGGGCGAGCCATGTGTAACCTTCGAATGTTGCTTAACTTCATTTCGTTAGCATCCTTCACTGTTGGCCGGAATATTTCCTCACAAACTGCTAAGAGTTAGATGCTGTACTTATCTAGTGTATGGCAAATACATGGACTTATAATAGTTCAACTGTCAAAAGTAATAATAAGAGGGAATATTAGAAATTGAATGATGGTATTGTTATCTATGTTTAAACAATATTGTGATTGGCATTGGAATAACACATTGAAACACTGAATAATTAAATAATGAAAGTCTATAATTTAATACAAATATGTGTATTATTAACACTAGAACTACATAAGCTTGAGGAATACAACAAATATGATTAATATCACTAATTTTATTTGTACGAAAATTTATGTCGGGTGCCACACTATTCACATAATGATATGGATATACTATAAAAGAAAATCAAAAACTTGAAACAAACAAACTAACAAAAAATGGATAGGGTGGTCTATGTTGAAAAAAATCAGACATTGGGCCGGTGTAAACTCTCGATGGACATGTTAGGTATGGACAATTGTTCAGAGTTGACCAATGCTGGTGAGAAAGGTCAAAACCTGGCACCTTTTGTGTAGGGTCATTTTTGTGTGTGTAGGCTTTTATTTTTTAACCACTGTTAGATTGTTGTCTTCCAGATAGATACTGTATCCCATTCTGAAGTCTGATTCACACTAGATAGGTCAGCTCTCATGTATTTAACTGACTTATCTAGACTTCAGATGGGATACTGTATTTATCTAACACTGGTTTAAAAACATTAAAAAAGAAAAAAGCCACTGCAACACAAAATAAGTCTTTAGAAAACTCTATATGGTATACAATGTTGCAAAAATCTGTCCTTCAGGGGATTATAGAAAGCCAGAAAGACAGCTGAACATCCAAATTTAAGCCAGAGGTTTTACCTATCTGGTTCAGGATTGAATGCATTGGATTTCCTTTTGACTTCAGCTTTGAAAAGCCAATATTCCCAATTTGTCTACTGCTGAAGGAGGTTGATTCAGCTTTTGGGCTTCCTCGCTTGTTCTGCTTTTCCCCCCTAATATTAATTCGAGAGACCACTTATTTTTTGGTGTTCCTTTAGCAGCCGGTATAATCCAAGACAAATGCTTTGAACACAAGAGTCCTTTGGATATTGAGATGGGTGGCATACAAGTTTCATATATAAGTAAAATGAAAATAGCAGAACCACAATGATGCATTTTCAATTGAAGTCCGATTTCAATTTGAACCTAGCAGGAAGGAAAAGAGAAAAGCAAAGGTTCTAGAGCACTGATCCAATATGGATCTCCCCTGGGGGCCATTTCCCACGAAGGGTTGTGCTATTAATCATTGCAATTGGGAACAGAGGTAGTGACACTAGGGGTTTTGGCAGTTAAACTGGCACATCCAGGCTTTGCAACACAATGGCATGGTTGGCAGTTTTGTCATCTTCATGGATCTTTATTTCTTGCACCTTTGGTGCCTGGGATTTCCTTGAGGTCTCCTATCCAAAAATGAAACAAGTCTATCCGCACTTAAGTTTGTGCCTGTTTACCATCTATTGCCTTTATTGGGTGAAACGAAAAGGCTGGCACACTTTGCAGCTCATCAGAACTCAACTATCTCCTCTGATAGTTGGAAGGCTTTCTACTAACTAAAAATCAGGACCCCTGGCAAGCTTGCACATTTTTTTTAGATCATGGGGCTCATATTAATATGACCTATAATTTCCCACTCCACGAGGGATTTATACAGGTTCCGTTTCAAGCAATCCTGGCTCGCTGGAGCTAAGTTCTCCTAGAGATGTTAGCGGCCCGAGAAACCCCCTAGCCCGCATTCTCCTTCCCATGTGGGGTCGCTCCCTCCGGCCTTACGAAGGTGATATTCCGGAGACCAGGGTACACGCGCCTATGTGGAGACCCTCAAGGGCCGAAGGGGTCTCGATCGGAAGTCCTCTAGCGCTTTACGGGGCAGCAAATAAAAATCCCCCTCCACTTCGCAGGACTTCCTTCCGGACAGAAGGGTGGTCGAGGGCCGTCCTGCGTTACTTGGTACGGACAGCAGCTGGCCTCCAACTAGGGACGCGAGTGTGAGCAGCCACACGTGCAGGCTCCGTAGAGAGGCCAGCGATGCAGCTCTTCCTCGCGGCTTTCGCTTCCAGGGGCGAAGGCGGGATAACACCCGCCAAACTCTCGGACGCCAAGGCGCGCGCACACAGGCGCGCGACCTGCCCGTCCGCCTCTCTCTCCTCCTAGGCTAGCTCGCCCTGTCCTCGCGGGCACCCTGACGAGCAGCTGCCCGCCCCAGTCATTTGCCGAGCATCCTCCCCTGGTCCCGCCTCTTTGCTCTGGCCCCCTCTTTTGCATCCAACATCCGGGCTCCTGCCTCTCCTCCAAACACCACACCTCATCCTCCGTTTCCCCCTCCCCCCCTTCTCCCGTACCGGAGGGGGGGGAAAAGGGGCGGGCTCGAACGCGCGCGGGGCGGGCTCGTGAGCGCGCCTGCCTGCTTTTGCCTGCCTGTTCATGGCAACTGCAGCCTCAGTCTCGCCTCCCGCTCAGAGCGGTAGGCACGCTGCTCGTCCGTTTCCCGTGCGGCCGAGTCGGCAAGCGATGCCCAAGAGCGAGGGTGGCTATCGCACTCCGCCTGTCCCCTACAGCAGCGCCTTCGCCACCTTTTCTCCCGGCCCGAACGGCATAGGCGGCGGCGGCGTTGGTGAAGGAAGAGGAGGACGTGACTGAAGCCGCAGGAGCGACTCGCGCTCCGTTTTGATAGCGATGTTGGCAGCCGCCGTTGCCTGAGCGGTGGTGCCTGCTCTGGAGACCCCCGGACTCCCCGAGGCAAAGTTTGTTCTGCTGGCTGTCGCTGCCTCTTGCTTTGGACTTGGAGGCGCGCGAGCGAGGGCGATTTAATTTAATTGGGGGAGGGGACGGATAATTCCGGTGAGGGGGCTACGCCGCGCCTTCTCCTCCGCCTCCTCGGCTTTTCCTCTGCCCACCCCCCTTCCTCCTCCTGCTGCCGCGGCTGCTGAAGAAGAAGACCAAGAAGAAGAAGAAGAGGGACGCTTTGGGGAAGGGGCGGCTGGCGAGGGCTTGCCGGCCTCTCTGCCGCCACCAACACCCATCAGGTCCGGATAAGCGAGTCCCGGATCGGCGCATCTCTGTGAATTGGAGCGGCAGCTTCCCTGCGCCGGGAACCGGGCAGCCTGCGATCCACCTGTCTTGAGGATTTAAAGCCGCCCTCAACGTATCTTCTTGGCTCTCCTGTTGCGGGACTTTGATTGCTCACCGAGAGCCGAGAAGGGTTTTCAATCCTCCCTTTTCGAAGTCTGCCCTCCCTCCCGGTCCACCCGTTCGTCTCACCCGGCGACCCTTCCTCGCACCAGAAGGCAAGAAACAGGAGAGACGGAGAGAAAGGGGGACAATGAAGATTTCGTGGCTAACTTTCGCCTTCCTTTGGGGAAGCATTTGCACACGTAAGTATGGGGAAAAGTTTGCGAAGGGCAGCTCCTTCTTCGTTAAAGAAAAAGGGGGTGTGCGTGATCTGGGCCTTATAATAATCCCATTATTCACAACAACAATAACAATAATAATAATGGTGATGCCCAGAAGGGGAACCAGCAGCATCAACCCCAATGTGCAAGCGCTCAAGTCGGGGAAATACCCCAAGTGTTAAATGGGGGGAGATTGGTTAACTGGAAAGGGGAAAAGAACAAAAACAAGCGCACTTCGGCGCTGCGGGAGCCACTGGGGGCAATCGCTTCCCCCTCGTTGCCGCGTGTTTTGATCGCGGATCGAAACACGGGAGGGGAGCGGTGTCCCGTTGGAAAGGACCCGATAAGGACGGTGCGCTTCTTCTAGGAGCGCAAGGCTGCTTCCCGTGAGGCATGTGCTGGAGGAAACAAAGCTGAGGCGGAGAGGAGAGCGCGGCTCGGCTTTCCCTTCGCCTCGCGTGCTCCGGCTTTTCGCCCTGGCGAAAGATAATCTCATTTTCCCTCCAGCACAGGAGCAGGGCGCGCGAGGCCTCGGGGTTTTGCTCCGGGTCTCTTGCAGGCGATGCTAAGCTTAGAAGGGCGGGGGGGGGATGCAGGAGCTTGCAAACAAGCCGTCCCCCGTCCCCCCCGCTCGCCTTTTCTCGTCTTAAACAAGTTTCCCTGGGGGGTTCCTTTATGCGCGTGGCTCGTCCACCCCTTCCCATCCCCTGCACCCTCTTTCCAAGATAACGCCTGGTGTGGAAACGGCTATCAGAAATCCTGCGGGCGTCAGACGCACCGCCGGCTCCTACCCAGCGCTGTAGGACGGTTTGGCGTGGTTTGGAAAGCGTTCTTTTCAGCCAGATCTTGGCGATCCTCCGCTTTTATTGGCGGCAAACTACCCTGGTGGCTGAACGGATCAGGGCGCTTTTTTCAAACCAGTTTGCAAACGCTGCTGGCCGGCGCTGGAGAAGGAGGGCGGCTGACACTTTCTCCTCCTCCCTGGGGAAATCTTTCAACTTTCGCCCGAGTTGGGCCGGCTTTCTTGGAGGTTGGAGGGTGGGGGAGCAAGCACGTTAGCGGAGAAGTTGCAAATGTAAACAAGCGGATGAGGGTGTAGCCCAGGCTTTGGCAAGGCCCTGCTCCAAAGAAACTTCCCCGGAGGAATTTTATTCCGTGCTGTTTTGCAGGCAGCCCTTTTACCCCCAAACGAACCTCGACACTGGGGATCGGGAAGGGTTGGGTTGGTGGGGGGGCGATGCAGATTCGTTTATATTTATGCCTGCCTGGACCGTGTCTGGAATTTCACTATTTTGGTATTTCCTCCCCTTAGGAGATGATCCCCAATTGCTAAAGAAAGGAGCCCGGGGAGGGGAAGTGCGCGTGCATGGGGAGCGCAGAGCAAAAGGGATGTTTGCCAGGCCCCGGCTGCAACTTTGCTGCCAGACCCTTTTCTCTTGTTATGGAAATGTTGCCTTATTGTCCCACCGCACTGATCCCGCTGCAGATCTGCTTTTCTCTTCCCGCCCCAGCCTTGAGGAAAAGGAGGAGGTGATGACGGCGGGGCGGGAGACGGCGTGTTGCGCCTTCCTTTCTTTTGCTCGGCAAACCTTCCACCAGCGCCGGGAGGCGAGCATTGGCGCGTAAGGGGGGGGGGGGTCGTCTCCCTAGCCCAGCTTTTGTTATACGTTCTTCCTCCCCCCCCCCTTGTTTGGATGACTTTAGGAGGTGGGGGAGGGGTCCGCGAAAGGGGGAGAGAGAGAGAAAAAGAGAGATCACCCTTCGGGGGATTGGAGCAACGTCGAGCGCGGTGGCAGCGGTAGCCGCCGCCGGCTTGGCCGAAAAAAACGCGGCGCGCGCAACGCGCCGATCTCGTGGCCGCGGGATAACAACAACAGGGAGCGCTGACGTCACTGGCCGGCGCGGGAGAGGAGGGGGCGGTGGGGCTTGGACCCTGGAAAGCATCGGCCGAGCGTTCGCGCGGCTGCCCCTCAACCCCGGCCGTAGGGAGCCATCCCAAGGCTTACCAGGGGGAGAAAAGGGGTCCTTCTGTTTGCCCTGGTGGCATGTCCTGAGCTCGCCCGGTGGCTTGCTTCGGTTCTGGACATAAGTTGTCCCACGCTACCTTTTGCCCAGCCCGTTTGCTGCGCGAGCATCTTTCCGCAAGCTGCAAGATGCTGCTCAGTTGGTTTTCTGGGTTTCTTTTTTTCCTCTCTCTCTCTCTCTCTTAATGGGTACCATCAGCTACTCTCTTTTAGGGAACGGGCCTCCGGGGCCTCCTTCCACCCTGGCATTGCCTCTCAAGAGCCCCCCTCCCATCACAAATCATCCAGGCAGGAGGGGACACCCGTTCTCCGGAGCTATTCTGTGCCACGCTAGATATACATGTAGGTCTCCTATCTCCCTTTAACCGTTTTCTCCCTCGCTTTTATGTCCGTGGCTCCTGCAGATCCTTTTGCGAGCGGGCTTGAAAACTCGGGAGGGGTTAAAGCCAGCGAAGTGGTTGCTTCGCTGGGTTTTCTTTGTTCAGGGTACCCATTATACATTCACTGTCACTGCCTCCTCGCCGGTCGGGTGCTGTAAACAAAGCTCGCTCCATTTTCCTTTTCTCTCCGTCCGTCCCCCCACCCCATTTTAATGCAGCTTCAATGTGCAAAAAAGAAAAAAAAAACACGGGGGGGGGGAGATGCAGTGTGGGCCAGTGGTCCAAATACCCAATTGAGCTGTGGGTTTTTTCCAGAGGAATTCTGCTGGCGTGGAAAAGCCCCATCTGTACCATCTAGAGATTTCTGGAAAGACCAGGATAGGTTGGAGCAACAATATTAGATGTGTGCCTGTGTGCTTGCAGTATCAAAATTCTGCATGCCTGCAGTCACCAACTGCTCCCGGTTTTGGAAACATGATTTATATGAAGGAGCTATTTTTAGGTCATCTCTCTCCTGTGTGATTTTTGTTTTAAAAAGATTTTTTTAATCTACTGCGCTTGCTTGCTTACTTGAGCAGAAAAATCCTGCTTGTTTGTCCTTCCTATTGCTCTCTAAAACAAAACCAGCATTTTTTATGTTGGGGCAAATGCCATGCTGGAATGCAATTAAAAGTTGCCTTTTAGAAACACGCTTTTGCTGGCTTTCCAAAAATGTAATTCTGAAAATTTAAATAAGAAGGGTGGGAATAGTGAGGCTCTCCCTAGGAATAAGGTAAACAGTTGACCCTGGCTGCTTTTTTAAAAGGTAGTTTTAATGAAGCCTTAAATTCCTACAGCTGCGTAGAAATGGTTAGCTGGAAAGCTGGAACTGACGTGTTGAAGCCTTGTGTTTGTGTGTGCATGATGTGTGCATGCCTGTGTATTGCATATTACAGCCTGTAATACCAACAACCCAGCAGACGTCAGGGTTTCCGTTTCTTTCATTTTTAAATGCCAAGGTGAGCTTCCTAAAAGGGGAGCAGCCAATGGCCCCCTGTAAAGAAAGCAAAATATGGCTGGGTATTTTGCTTACCTGTCTGAGTACACACACAAACACACACACACACTTGATGAATCTCTATGGTTTTGTTTGCCAATTATCCCATAACTCTTTTCCCCCATTGCTGTGAACACAAATCTGCCTTGTAGGAATAGCAGTTTCTGGTAGAAAATGAAAAAAGTTCCATCTTGCTTTCTTAAAAAGCGATCAACTATATCCCAAGCACTTTTCCAGAGTCTTTCCTCATTTATCCTCTTGTGCTGGAGACCAGTTTCATTAGCTTGCTAATTAAACTCAACAAACTGCTGTGAAAAGGTTAATGGTTCCGGGCTTTAAAAAGGCAAAACTCTTGAACTATTGTCCAAGACCCTATTAACAAAAATCTACGGTTGGATGTAGATTGTGCCATTCTTAATATCAGGACTGTTCAATGACCCTGGTGCTTGCTTTAAAGGAAATTTATACAGATATAACAATGAAGAATCATCCTAAATCTGTTTACTAAAAAAGTAACCCAACACTGAATGAGAAGCCAGGAAAAACACAAATTAAAGTAATGGCTGAGGTTTGGGACTGAGATTTCCAACCTTGGCAACTTTAAGACTTGTGGACTACAACTCCCAGAATCCCCCAGTGAACCATTCTGGGAGTTGAAGTCCAGAAGTTTTAAAGTTGGCCTCCTTGTTTTAAAAGGACCCTCCTTGTTTAGTAGAACTGTCCCTCTTAGCTTCTTCTGATTTAAAGGTTTATCGCTCTGTCTAGGTTTCAGCCATTCTTTTAACAAGTTAAAATGGCACTGAAAAAAAAAAAGTGATTTATGACCCAGTCCTTGTATTTAGGATTATCACAGCATTGCCATGGTCACGTGATCAAAATCCAGGTGCTTGGCAACCAAGCTATGGTGGGTTGCAGGTCCTGGATTCATGGGAATCCATTTGCAGCCGGCTTCTAACGAGCAAAATCAGTGGAGGGGAAGCCGCATTCAGTTAATAACTCTGTGATTCACTTAAGAACGCAGTGATTCGCTTAACAATCACGACAAAGAAGGTTCTAGAAACGGGGCACGTTGACTTATTTAATAGCCCGCGGAAATCCTGGTCCCAATAGTGGTCTTAAGTCAAGGACTACCTGTAATCCTAAATAAGCCGTGATGCCGGGCTTGGTGTTGAACGGGAGGGGCTCCTCCTCCTCCTCTTCCTTCCATCAGCTGTCACAGCTGTTCGGTTGTCCCTGAACAAAATGAACAGTTCTAAAAGAACTGGAAAAATTAAACTGAAGGACGAGTTTCAGATTGCATTGATAAATGGAACCTCCATGCAAAGATAACATTCGTGACGTTACGTAGGTAGCTGGCTTGACACTGTTGCAAACAAACATAAGGCTCTTTATCTGATCTTAGTAGTTTTCGTGCTTAAAGTTATCTTTTAATATCTAGCCATGGTCTATCGTGGTTTGCACAACAGGGAAATTAATTGGGGAGAAGCACACACCAAATGAAGTAGGAATCAATTGAATTAAAATGGGTTGGTTTTTTTTTGC